ATGCATGCATGCATGCATGCATGCATGCATGCATGCATGCATGCATGCATGCATGTATGTATGTATGTATGTATGTATGTATGCATGCATGCATGCATGCATGCATGTATGTATGTATGTATGTATGTATGTATGTATGTATGTATGTATGTATGTATGTATGTATGTATGTATGTATGTTGGTCGCCAGGAATGTAGTCAGGCGCCCGGAAACCGCAGCAAATGGGAGCAGTACCAGGAGGTTGCCGTGGCAACCGATAGCAACATTTGTTCGACACATGCAGTGTAGGTATCACACTGGCAAATCATTTCCCATAGGCGGCCATACTTACGAAAAAATTCCCATAAATCAGCAGAAGATTTTTTGAAAAATCATCATGCCATCCTCTGAATCCACGTTGCAACTGACACCATATATGTTGTTAACTCAAAAATTCTTCTATAATTTTTGTTGTAAACAAGCTTTTGCCGGCACGCACTAAAAAATGGCCACCTTAAAATTATTGTCATTTTACGCGAAAAAGTATGCTTCCTTCGAAATTCCCCGGCTCAACCCAGCAACGCACCCCGGACGAGCCGATTATACTGTCGGATTCAGCACAGATTCTAGTTTCTCAAATTAAAAAATGCAAAGAGTTCTAAGCATTTCTAATGAGAAATAACAAATTCAAGCGCATGCATACACTGAAAAACTATCTCATTCTTTAACTGTCCCAGCGCTTATTTGCTGATTTCCTACCGTAATACCCATAGAAATAGATATCTATCTATCTATCTATCTTCTATTTCTATGTTCTATTCTAGGTTATCTATCTATTTCTATGGTAATACCTGTAGTATAGGCATAAATATATTTAATACAGTGTTGTATATATTTATGCTGGAGGCACGCAGGGGCCGGCGAAACCGTTTTCGGTGGCCATCTTGTATTAAATTAAATTTGACTAACAGCTTTTATTGCTGAGATCTCGTTCTAGCCGACGGGGGGCGCTATACGCAGCCTCATATATCACGCCGACGTTATCTTGATAAATATAATTCAAACGTTTAACCTTGATTGCTTGTTTGTCTCTTACGTACTGTCATGCCCCACCAAAGGTCACTTGTTATGCCGCACCCAAAGTGCGCGCATATTTGTTACTACTCTACGCTTAACAACACGAGCGCAGCAAGGATCCAAGTTGTATCCCTGAAATATTTTACCGCGTTACGTCATCCTAGTATAGCATCAGATAATAAAAAAGATTATGGGGCACAGTTCATCAGTCTTTCTATCTATTTATCTATCTCTATCAATCTATCTATCTATCTATCTATTTATCTTTCTATTTATTTAGCTACCTACCTATCTATCTATCTATCTATCTATCTATCTATCTATCTATCTATCTCCCTCTCTCTATCTATCTATCTATCTATTTATCTATCTATTTATCTATCTATC